TGTCCGACCAATCTATAAATTCTGCCTGGATTTCGGCATGCGGCACCGGTTAATCCTTACGGTAATCAGCATTATTCTAAATGAAAATATGAAACTTCCTTTCTCTTTTAACTAATGTTTAAGTGCAATTCAATGAGCTGCTTGGGCTTGACAGTTAGTGAGATCTTACTTTCTTAGTTTCGTGTTTTTGTGTGTGTGACTGTGAGTGTTGTGGCTGAGGATTGTGGCGCTAATGTACTTTGGTGTCCAGACTTTGACCCGTAACTCCGGCGTGGAGAAACCCTACTAAAACATACCAAAATATCAACTAAATCTTTATCAATTGTTCAAATAATGGTTATGATTTAAAATTCGTTATGTTTATCACCCCTTTAGTGTCAATTTTCATTTTTTAAAGGGTATTTTTCCTAAAAACGAAGACATTATAATATTCACTTTTTCACAAGTTTCACGGCAAACCGCTGCACAATTACAATGCAATTGCATACCGTACCGACGAAAGGGTGCGGGCGCGCGCGGGCGTGCGTGCATGCATGAAGTAATGTTAGTGACTGTAACAGATCCTCATGAAATCATTGTAAGTATAATTCACATTATGACAATGATGATGGTTATTACTGTTGCTAACTTCGCTCAAGGGTGCTATTAAAACCTTTCTATTAATAATTAAGGCTGCCCAAGGGAAACATAGAAAGTGGCCAAAGGCCTTTCTACACATATTCTACAACACACCTTTCATTCTCGATCAAGCCTTCAGTTCAAGGAAAATAAAATACATTGTCACTAGTCTATAATTACATTTATAAAATAAAAGGCAAATACCAAATAATCTAAAATTGGTACTTTTAGCAGTGTTTTTTTTAGACCTATGTTGGTTTCATTCAATCAGAGGTTATTGTACATGTAGTGCGGTACGCGTAGTATCATTTTCTCTATGACTTTTGTTACTGGTCTTACTTTGATCTCCTATCACTTTTAAAAGGGAGTGATGGTTGTATTGATACCTAAACAAAATAAAGAACAGGATGTGCTTAATTGGTATGCAAATTTTAATCCCTGAATCCCCTCCAGCATTTCCATAGAGTTCTAATCTACCTTCTGTCACCTTGCACAATACCTTGGTATTCAAGAGTGGCTGACAGTTATGCAAACTGCAGCTATAAAAGGAACATTCTTTGGGGACATTTTTGTTTTTTGTTTCAGGACAAAACTATTACAAAATAAAAGAATTTGCGGTGACACTTTGATGATTTTGTGGTACCTAGTCATATTTATCTCCTACCTGGCCACTGTACGTCATCTCTGTACTCCACTGGTTTCAAAATTTGAAGTCGCCTGTCATTATCAGGGTTTGTGGGAATGCTATTTTTATGATTCAGATTGTTTGAAGTGAAGGGATAGGTCTCTTTTGTTGTTTGAATGAAAAGGGCAGCTCATTTCTGTTTTGAAACTTCTTCTCTATCTTTTATCTTCTGGTTCTTATTCATTTTCATCTCTTTTTTCTTCTATTCTGCATTTGACTCTTGTTTTCTTTGTTCTCTTCTTTTCTTAAAATCTTTCCATTCATCTTTTTTTCGTACATGTACATGGAGGTTACCTTTCCTTTTGATGATATTTTTCAATCCTTTGTTTCATTTTCAATTTGCCTTCTTCTTAATTGATGCTGCTTTTCTGTTTGTTCTTTCCCCTGCTCCTTTTATTGCATATTCTGCTTTTCCCAGATATCCCACTTTCCTCCTTTCCAACATGTATTGTTTATTTCTTGTCTTTACCGTTTTCTATCCATCTTTTATTCTCATTTTTAGAAATCTTGTCCTCTCTTGTCTCTTTCTTGACAATGTCAATGTGAGCTGTTCTGAATTACAAATAATAACAGTTATATTCAACAGCAGGCCTAAATGCAGAGAAAACAAATATGTAAAATTCTTACAAAATTAAGAGGCGATCTGTCGATTTGACAGATGGCTTTGAAAATGAATGATGATAAAGAATGGGAAAACAATGTATACAAGAATGTGGGAGAAAGTGGAGGGAAATACGAAACTAGATTGCTGAAATGATTATCATCAAGGCCTATAATGCTCTAAATCATGGACCTACTATGAAGCCGTAGTAGTAGTAGTAGGTCGTAGGTCCATGTCTAAATGCAGTTGAGAAGGCAGAAGTGTAGACTATTGCAACAGAAATCAATCTATTCAGGTCCCTGGGTATAATAACATGAAGGTAATGTTTTCATATTGTATTATTGTTGACTATATATTCCAAATGGAAAACATGTTGTTTGATCTTTCTCATGTCAGGGTCAGTGCAGTAAAGTTTTCCATCCTTTTGTAACATAAACTCGTTTTCATGATTGTCTCTGTGAACTTGAAATATTAATGCAAAACACATGTATGCTTGGTTGCAACTCCAGATTGCAAGAGTGCAGTTTCTGAAGAGGAATTTTTCTTCAGTTTGCTTGCAGTGCAAATTGATTTTAATGGATTTCATTTGGATTAGCTATGTCGAGCAAGGCTTTCGGTCATGTCCATCCCACCTTTTTGAACCAATTGAGTCTGTGGGAGGGAGGTTCTATGAGGCTCTGTTGAAGGCATCAAGATGCGTGATGATGCAAGCAATAATACATCGCGAAAACGCTATGTATGCAGACGCCAACCCAGGGATATTTTGACTTTACTAGCATCTTGAAAAAAAACAAAATAACATGATGACAATGATATGAATATTAAATGTATGAGATTTTATTCTCAGTGGTTCTACCCAATGCAAAATGGGAAGGTGATGATTTCAAAGGAGCTCTGGCAATATAAAAAGAAGAAAGTGATATTTGACACAGGAGGGTTTAAACTTTAAAAAGTACTCTTTGTTCACAAGGGCGCTTTTTGAAACTGTTTTATAAAAGATTTTAGCATGGCAAGTGCAAGTTTTGCATACCGAGTATATATTTTTTGTTTTCCTTTTTTTGTTGGCAGGGGGGGGGGGGGGGGGGGTCTCTTCATGACTGATGGGGGGAAATCCCCAAGAGCTTTGTTGTTGTTGGGTTTTTTAGGCTGTCCAATTTGAAAAGATTATTTCCACCTAGCAATACGTTTTTTTTGGTTCTTCATCAATGATGATTAGATGGCGCTGTTTCTTTTTTTTTCTCCCCGAGAGAGAAAAGGTGAACATGAAATGATATGAATACAAAATAAAACTTTGGCTTTTAGGCCTATAAATTCAACAAAAACAAAATTTAAATACAATTTGCTCTTTACATCACCTTGGCAAAGTTAGTTATAACTCCCAGAGCAAGTAACTTTTATATCGTCCTTTTGTCTAGTCTACTGGCATTGACATGACTATTAGTTTATGCTGTGATTTCTTCTTTCTCCTACTTTAAAAATAACAGGCCTTTCACTCCAAGGTTTGATTAGACTACATTAACATTTTGTTGCTGCAGCTTGATACCATTCATATCCCTGCCTTTTATTTATTTTTTTATATAACCTACTTTTGTTAAAAGAAGGCTAATGTTTCAATGTAATCTCTTTCAATTATCTACTTATGTGCCAGTTTTATGCAAGAAAAATGTTTTTTGCGCAGACTGCAACTATTTGTGCCCACATTGGCTTTTTAATGACATTCAAGGTAGGAAGGGGGAGTGGCTACTTAGACGGACTGGTCCTATCGTGGACCTCTTCCTCCTACGATTTTATTGTGAGTTTTTTTCCCTAACAGCTGTTGAAGTGAGGTTAAATATTGCCTATTTTTGCCGCAGATGTTTATGTCAAAAGTGTTCCCAATAGAGGCAGCAAAATTCTGCTGTGCAGTGCACTATGTCTTTTCCTGGTGCTTATCAGGATACTATCTGTCAGAATTTCCGACCTAAAGATTGAATTTTGGTGAAATTGCTTACCTGGCAAAGAGTTCATTCTACTGCTAATGTAGGATTCCAACAATATGGGTACATGTAGCTTCATCAACATAACAAGATGTGCTTGAATAACAGAAAATGCCTAATTTTAGAATTAAAAGGCAATGCTATAATCGTATAATGTTTCTTGATTGAGAGAAACTTTTATTCAATTTAAAAATAATGAATTCAGTTTGTTACAAGTTCTAACATTTTAGAGATGATACATGTAGATGAACAGGAAACCAATAATAAATATAGTTTGTTTTCAAGTTAAAGTTCTTTAAATCAAGCCATATTATAATGAAATTCCCAAAATTTATGTCATAGGAAACCAAATTTGTAATAAATCATAAAACATTAATACACTTGTCTTTTTTGTCACAAATATTATGCCTATATTGATTGTGGCATAGTATTTCTGATGTCAAGTGGAATAATTTTGTTGAGTGGTGTTCATTTCCTTTTCATACGTTATTTGTCACCAATTGTTATTTGAAAGGAAGTAGAATTTCCTGAGTGAAGAGATTGTTCACTGTCACTGTGTCTGTGTGAGAGTATCTATTTCAGACAGTTTCACTCTCTTACATATAGTGAAAAATATATTTTGTGTAATTGCATGACTTTTAAATCAATCATATTCCTTTTCAATTAATTACAATTGATACAAATGGATATTTCATAAAACAAAGGTATCTCCATGATAGTAAATTCCCTGTGTGTGTCAAAATACTTATCCTTTTAGGTAATTTTGTTGTACTTACAGACCCTAAGAGGTGGTAGATAGGAGGAAATTGGATGGGTGTAGAGAGTTCAAGACCCCAGTCTCTCTTCCCCTATACTTTGAGGGGCTGGGAGACAAATCATAGCAGGCAAAGGTTAATACAGTTAGCTGCGGGTTACCTTCACTGCTGGAAGAGCAGAGACTGACTGGCAGTGGTAGGAAGTCTGCCTAGCTCTCAGTGCACATGCTGGTGTGTGCTTCCCATGCAGAGCTGGGTTGGGGCGGTCCCTGCTGAGGCAAGGCATCCTATTGGCTGGTGGGCTGACCGCTGGTGTCATCCATCCCATAATAGGGGGATAAAACCCTCCCAGTGATAAGGATGTAGAGCCAAGAGCAAGCTTGCCGAGAGAAAAGTTTATCAGCAGCACTCTTCAAACTTGCTGTAGACCCGATTGCTCGCTCACTGGTCCGCCACAGAGATTGTACACCATGTATAGCTTTGTGGACCAGATTCGCCAGCATAGGCAGACACTGTTATTAATATTAGCGACAATAACAGTTTTCGCTGTAGTATGTCAGGGACAAGGTAGGACAACTATTTTCTAACTTTTTGACTGATTCAACCATATAAAATATGATAAATGCTTTATTTAAGACAGATATATGTATTTTATACTCAATTATCTTGGCAGTTCTCATGCATGATAATACTATTGAATAGGTTTAGGAATTTTTCTGGAGTGTGCACTCAGATGAAATGATGTGCTGAAGCTTGCTTGTGTGTCCATGCTCTCTCATACTTAAGTTAAGAAGTGTAAATATATAAGCTTTAGCCATGAAGTCATTTATAATATTGTAACAAGCAATACTCTAACTTATGATACATGTACATGTAAAGTTACTGTAACAACTGTTACACTAATCTATCCAATCTTAATGGTAGACTACCACGATTAATCCTAAGTTAAGATGTAGCTACTCATACTCATAATCATATGAATGATGATTATGGTATTGTGATGTTAATATCATAACATATGTGTGTTGATTATACTCATTCTAAGATCTTTTATGACTAGTAGTTTCTCACATGTACATTGCAAACAATGACCTGCAAAGTGAGCAACAATAGTCATGATAATCCAAATATATTTCACTTTTACTTATATACGTCCAGTTATTGTTAGTCTATGCTTCATTTAGCAGACCGCCAGACCTATATATGTTCAGTTCTGTGTCTTAAATGCTAAATTTGAGGGTCATGGACTAATAATACTAAGTTTGATCAATTACTGTTTACTGATTAATCTATTTTAAAAGAAGAACAACCACACAGAGGGCCCTAATTTATCATTTTGTTGTGAGACAGAGACTATTTTTGTTACAAGTGTATTTCTGGACTTGTTTATCCCTGATAAACGTTACTGTAGAAATTGTCATACTCATTTGATGGAAATCAGAATATTCAAATGATTTACGTCAACTACAGCATGTTATAAACAAAATATACTTCAGGACTTACATGTAGGTTGGGTTAGGTTGAAAAGTGTGTAGACACATGATCTTTTTGCTTTCAGGGGTCATACACAACAGGTGCCGCATATTTCTGTTTCTACTTTTCTTTAGTTGTTTTGAAAGTCTCCTACTGTTACAAATATGAAGGAAGTCAGGAATCCTCTTTTTATTTAGTTTAATATGTCCACCCACTAAGAGGCAACTTTTTAATGTCTCAGTCCGTCTATTGAATGCTTGATTGTAGTCGTCTGTCTCAAAATAATTTGAGTACAAATAGTATAATTCGAAAAAAGTTGAAGAAATTTGCAGTGATATTGATAAGAAGGAAAATACACTGTAACATAGAACTAATATGAGTGCATATATATATATATATATATATATATGTGTGTTGTTGAAAAGAAACTTGTCTATTGTATGAATTAGTAGTTTACAATCTATATGTTTTAATTGACAAACAATTTCCCTATTCACCTGGTGCCTTTCTTGCCTTTTGGTAGATATCAATGCATTTAGTTATAAAATCTTGTAAAAAGGCATTACACTTATACTTGTAACCAGAAGAGTGAAATTTTTAGCATGTTGTAGGGGATAATCATAATAGTTATTAGTATGTCAGATTAAAAAATAGGTATTAGAAAGGAAGAAGGCTTGACCCCTCTTGTAATTATGGAATGTTCCTGGAGGAGAGAGTTGTGTGTCCCAGCAGTCCAAGGTTATGTGGGTGAACTCCAGAGTTGTCAACTCAGCAGTTAGTCTGAGGGGTTGGCGGCCACTGGCCCAGCTAAGCTCCACCTCCTTGCACCATCAGCGCTGAGTAATGCCATAGGTTTCGGATCAAATCCGCTCGCTCTGCCAATATGACATGTTATACCACAACCAGACAGTGGAAGAGGTGCAAACGTGGCAATTCTGATTGTGGCCCTCCATTGTCTGCACGTCCTTGCCTTGCACAGGCAGGCAGAAACTTTCCATGACCCTGGAGCACTGGAGTAATTACTGGAAGAGATGACTCTCCTCTGGTGGTTTAGTCCATCATCAGTTCTTAGGAGTTAGGAGATTTGTTGAAACAACACTCTAAATCAAGTTACCATCCAGTCTTTATTCTTTTCTCAAAACCATCAAATGCAGTAATGCAAAATTAGGTTGATGGCCCAAAACACTATTTTAATATCCATCTTACTTAGTATCCTGCAGTGATAAATAATTATTATGTATAAACCTTGAAGGGCAATCCAACCTTAGTTACAGCCGGGTTGGTTGTGAGAAAGCAGAAAAAGAAGAGAAAGTTTAATGTTTGAAATATGAGATCTTAAAATCTATGCAAATTATAAATTAGCAAATTGGTGATTTGATTGACATTTTTATGGACAACTCTCCAGTTTGTTGCATACACATATGTATATACTAAACTACATTTCATTTTCTGATTTTCAAAGGAAAAGAAAAGAAAAAAAGAAGAGAATTGATTCTACCAAGTAATATTCCTAAATAGTTAAATCATTTTCTTTGGTTAGAAAATAGAACAAGGAGAGCCTTTTTTGGGGGGCCACCATATCAACTACATATCTTTGCCACTTTTGAATTGCCATATTTTCAGTGAATAAAAGGTTTTAAAAATATGAAGTTTCCTTTTTTGCGGTCTAATTTCATGCAAAAATTCATCAATCAACTTCTCTATCTGCCTTCTTTCAGAACAACTTGCTATTAGAATCTGTGTGCATATATACACATTTTACAATTTTAGGGTCCAGACTTTTTGAGTGCCCATTCCAAGCCCTGTAATTAAGGTTGGATTTCCCTTTTTTTTTTTAGATGTACTTCACTAAGCAGTAATATTTTGTTAAGAACATTCTAGATACAGAAAAGCATTTTTTTCCCACACAGTTCACAAATGTACTTTTAACTAGGACTTAAAATTGGATAATGTGATTTTTGTCAGTAAACACTAACCAACTTGACTTGGACTTCTCTTAGGCCTAAAAAAGAAGATGTTGTATTGCCCTTTAGGTGCCAAAACATGGGTCGGTTGGTCAGAATTTTTAAATATTTTTTGAACTCCCTCTTTTGGCTGATATTTTTCAGTTTTGAATGCTTTTTTTCTCTATAAAACGATTAAAAAAATAACTTTTTTAAAGAGCCGACCGTATAGATTCCAAGATTTTGGGGTCAGTCGCAAAGGACAATACAACATCTTTTTTTTAGGCCTTATGTCATGAATTTCCTTCTGAAACTCTGGTAATGAAATTGTAGATTTGCATGAGCATGCATGCTGATTAGTCAGGCATACAAGTAAGCTTCAAATCAACCAAATACAATATTATCAGCAAAGGATTTGGCTGTTTTTGCTGATATATGTAAAGAAAGGAGAAAAAAAATCCACTGTATATAATAACAAAAGAGATATTACAAAAGAGCGTAACCATATCATGCTGCAAATTTATAAGCATGATGTATTTGTGAGGAGCTCATTACATTAGATATCTATCTCTTGAGTAATTGATGACTGCCATGGTTGATTTGTAAGATCATTTCATCATTTTCATGCATGAGGACTGCTCAAGACTTTTTTTTTAACCATTTTGAAATTTTGCATTTGATAAATGATTTCATTGCAATTTTCAGATCTGAATGGAATTGACTTTATTCATGTAACTGATCTTTAAAACATTTCCTCTTGTATTTCAGAATTAGTGAGCCTGCATGCTTACATTGTTGTATGTGTTATTTATGTGTATGTTTAACCCCATCATTATCATGTTTGATACAACTTATACTTGTAGATTTTTAAAAATTTGCATGCATCATTCATCATGCATGGTACATGTATTCTCCCATCCATATATTAGCATCTTATTTTATCCTCTTAAAATACAGAACTATGAATTGTTCAAGTTTGCGGACTTCAATTCCTATGTTCATTCAACTATCAAATCACTGGTTCTTTGATTCTGTTGCTAAAATTGCAACTGCTGTAAAAGCATTGTACATCAGGGAATAATTTTCCTGGTATCGCATCGCAGTTTGCTATGCATTTTTGCATGACTGCTATACAAAATATCTTTTGTGTAGCAGTTTTCTTCCATAGAAATGTACAGAATTTCATTTGAAATATTTATCCATCGGCTGAAATTGCTAATCAAAAAAATTGAGGAAAATTATTCCCTGTACATGTACACAGAAAAACTGACCAAAATATGAAATGTATTTATAAAACACATGTACCGTATGCAAATTAAATGTACATGTAAGTATCATTCAAGTAGTTATGGGGTCTAGAATATTTTGTATCTATTTTGGCAAAATAGTTTTCAGAAGGGGCAAATGACTTGCGTTTTGCATGCATATACATGTATCTATTATCCCCCCAAATAGTAGTTGTGAAGTTCTGGTGCATGTTGTAAAGAAAAGAAAAACGCCTTCTTTAACAAGTTTGCATGATTGCATGCATCTCTGTAAACCCTCTCACCCTCACCCACCATCACCACCACCTGTTTAGAATGACATACTACTGGTAACTATTTAGATAATGGTCTTGCGGTAGTGCTGGACACAGTTTGCTGAAAGGGTTCGGTTTGTGACAGTTGAGCATGAATTAGCTGAGGCTGAGTGAGTATGGCATTCACAATTTCATCTCTGGTGAAAACGGGTGTAATACAAAACATTTGTTAATAGATCAGAAATTAATTCATCTCGATTGTTCTTTTGGTTTGATGAGTTAATATCATTTCACTTATTGTATATTTCTATGAATTGCGTAGTTGAATGAATTCAGTAACTCCATGTACTCATAATTCATCATTTTTTATCAGATTAGATGAACATACACAATACATGCATGGGTACATGCAGTTCTTCATGACACTTTATTTATATAAGTTTACAATGTAGGTTAGAAATTGATTAGGTTTTATTGAGATAGCATGGACACCATCAAGTTCAAATCTGATTGAAACCAAGAAATACAAATAACTTATTTAAGATACATGTATATTCCTTTGTGTGTTCAAAATTACAAAAATTGAGTTGTGTACAATCATCTGTTCAGAGCCAGAAGGGCATTAACTCTGTGTTTAAAGAGTTTATCAGTTGATGCCCTCCTGGCTCCAGACGATTGAAATATCTGTATTTATATTTGTAATAAGAATGATTATTTACTAATGTTATTTTTTGCAGGATGGTAAGTAGGTCATGTATGTTCTCTGTTTAAATTGAGATATATATATATTCTTGAAAAAGTAAATTTTAGCTGGAAAAAAAAAGAGCCAGGTTGAAATATTATGTGCAAATCAGCCATGTTGAATATGAAAATATTAATTCAATTATAAAATGAAGATGATAATGACTATTATTAACAATAATAATGAGAATACTTATGATCAATTTCAATACAAATGATCACAATTTCATCAGCCATGATGTTTCTTACTATCAGAATGAAGCTGCACGCTAATCACCATGTAATTCTCATTAATGTTTTCAATGTATTATGTGGTCTCTCTTCCAGAATCATCGTTTTCACTTAGCATAAGCTCGGGAGAGCCCCTACTACCATGTGTATACCGAGGACAACCGTATCTCCACGCAGAATCGTGGAGTGTTGATGAATGTACGATTTGTAGTTGTGACAATGCCACCACGACCTGTGTGATTGAGAGTTGCCAGCCCGCCTTCTGTGTTGAACCCATCAAACCGGAAGGAGAATGTTGCTTCTTGTGTCCTTTCAGTAAGTATCTTTGTTAATGTGCTCACAGACTAGAAGAATATGCATAAAGCTGTATGCCAAGTCGTAAATAGAAACATTGGAAATACCCTCTCCTTAGAAACAAGAAATCATAATGATTTAGTGAGTAGTGCTGAACTTTGAAGGCTGGGGGCTAATACAGGTTCTTGGGTTTAAGTACCTACATTTTTTTCCAAAGGGATATTTAGACATGCCATACTTTTTTGGAGATATTCTAAGAAGAAATTGCTTAGAAAAGAGTAGTAATAGTAGGAGAAGTAGTAGCAGTAGCAGCAGCAGCAACAGTAGTAGCAGTAGACATAGTCGTCGTTGGAATTGTAGAAGTGGCAATAGCCAGCAGTAGATATTGGGTAACTTGTTAAGCATGAGGCTAATCTGTCACAAAAGGATGTGTATTGGAGATACGTTCATCTCTACATAACTGTCTTCTTAATTATCAAAATGCTTTTAGTTTAATTAACGATTACATTAACAAAATGCTAATCAATGTGTGCGATGTACTCTTGCAGATGTGAAGGTGAAGAAGGTAGCGCCGGTGATCACCAGTACAGGCAGTATCTCAGAAGGCCGAGAGAACCGACTGACTCTCAGGGTACCCATCAAGTTTCAGGAAGCTCAGGATACAACGGGTGTCGCGGGAGAAGGTCTCTGGAGACTCAGTGCCTGGGCCTCGCCCAATATGGATGGCAGGGGACAAAGGTATCATCAAGTCATTTGAAGATAACTAAAGGGGAAATAGTCCACCTTGATATTAACTTTGTTTTAATAAAAGCGGAAAAATGAGAGGAGCAGGTCAGTAAAAGTTTGAGTGAAATCTGATTTAAAATTTTTGAAAGTGCGATCACTCAAACACAAAGTGGCAACTCTGTGACCTATCTTGCAGGGTTTCTTCTCAATTGCCTTGTACTAAAAGTCTCCAAAAATTAATATTTTTCCATTAGAAAATTTTTCAATCATATATTCCCCCTAAATATAATTATCGCAAATTTGAAACAAGTCTATTCCATTATCAATAATTAAGTAAATAAAAGTTTATGACATTTTCTGTACAGAACAAATTGGAGAGGACCTTGTAAGATATTATTGCCAATTTGTATTTCACTGATGACAACTTCAAAAATGTACTACTTCTCTACTTCGCTACTTTTAAACAGATATTGCTCACACTTTCACTAATTTTGTTCTCTCTTGTTTTTCTGCTTTTGTTAATATCAAGTGAAGTGAAGTATATAATGAAACAAGAAAAGCATGTATTCATCAAAGTTTATGTGAAGTATACTGGTCATCAAATACTGTCATAACAGACTGTAATCAGTAGGTGTTTAGTTTGTAGATGAAGTTTGGAAGTGAATTTAACATTTTTTTCTCTTTTCCTGTCCTCTAAGATTCGGCTATCAAAGTCAGACCCTTACCGAGGCCCAGCAGGCAAAGCACTACAAAAAGAAGGACTCCTTTAATTTCCAGGACGTGGACTTCAGACTCACAGACCCAATGGCCCAGTGTACTGACATGATGTACATCTGTACTCGATTGGACCGTGGCGAGAGCCCCAGGACCAAGGGAGGTCTGGACTACGAGTTCTCTGGCTTTCCTGATGATAATGCACTCACTGGATGTACAACCGCTCCAGAATGCAAAGGTAAGGGGGAGGAGCAATGTAGATTTCATAAAAAAATAATAAATGCAGTGACTGAAACAGTAATGACACTGGAACTTGTTTTCAAAAGCTTTTATCTTTTGGTTCTTAATTATTTGAGAAGATGAAGTATTACAAGAGAAAATTAAGGCAAGCATTTTGCAAAAGGATTCAATTATCAGGGAATTGCATAATCAGCATATGCGTCAGCGGAAGAGATGACCTTAAGCATCAGTGTGGTCTAGATGCAGCAATACATTCATTTCAATTACGATTTGGATCATGGGCCAGAGTGTGCTAAAGTCATTAGTAGTGCCCTGTGCTTTGTAGATGCGCTAAGGGTTAACAAATTATATTTGGCAAGGTTAATGGCTGCAAGACATTCCAATACCAAAGCATGAAAGCGGGCCCCTCTGTTATGTGTTAAGAGTACAAGTCAGCTCAAAAAATATACTGGGTGGTACTTGTACACATGATATAACTACGATACCCAAATTGATCTTTTAAACTTCAATTGATTTGTTGCAAAATACAGATATGTGTTTATGTACAAATCTTATGAAGCAGTGTCATTTCTGTTATCAGTCACATTCTCTGTTGTCATAGTTGACTTTTATGTACATGAAATATCATATCTTAATTCAACACTCATGTTTTTCTAATGAAATTATTGTTTAACACATCATGTGTGTGTGTTTTATCAAATAATGAGAATAATCAAAATCATTGTGAAACCATTTGTTGTGCTGTTAAGCCAACTCTTCACAAAGTTCATATTTTTCTATTATTGTACCATTTCTATTCATCGGATCATATTTAATATTGATGCATAATTCATCAAGTTCAGTCACTATGTGTTTGTTGTTTCATGTCAAAAGCAGGGCTCTACACTATAACAGGCGCCCGAACCCATTGGCGCTCAAAATCCCCCACAATGTTGGAAGTTTTTCATAAGGCTCATGCACAGTGCATACAGGCTAAAGAGTTAAAAATCAAACCCCTTCCAAAAAGTTAGTGTGGAGCCCTGTCAAAAGTGAAGTTTCTATGTTACATTTTGTTGTTTTCAATCATACTTCACCTGTACATTGTTTGTCGATTGAAACATTTCGTCCTCATTATTTGTTTTTAAGCAAAGAACATTCTAATCTCCACAGGAAAAATATCATATACATAATATACAAATTATTTGTGAGTTGCTTTCTTGTGTTGTGTGATTATTAAGAAAGCTCTGTGTTTATGGTGTGAAAAAGTGAATATTTTTTATACATCATTTTGTTTTCATTTGTGTCAAATTTCATGTAATGTACATATCATGTCTTTCACTATACTTGTTCTTTTCATAGATGTCTCATACACTCGTTTCTGTTTATCACACATGTTGTTTTCACTTCATGTACCAGTGCTTTGGTCCTGTCGTTCATAGCGCTGCGATAGTCGTGAAGGTGGTCATGTCTTAATAGAAACGTCGGTGAATGCATCAGGAATTCTGTTACAGTGTGTACATAACAGAGTGCATAAACCAATGCTTACAAGAACTAAAACAAATATATAATATAAAAAGCGCAGTAACAAAAATTGCTTTGGTATAGAGGGGAAAAAAACCTATTCATATGACACTATCTTCTGCATAACATAATGCAGTTATCTGAAAATTGACAGAAGATCTAGGAGCTTATAAATGAAGTAGTCTCATGTATTAAAGCTTGCCAAATTGTATGATTATTTTTGTCGGTTAACCAAACAAATTTTCAGAAAACAATTTTGTTAATGGATAGCCTACTGGCAGTACTGGGTTTATTTGATTCCTACAAATTTATTTTCAATGTGAATTAGTAAATCAGTCTTCCTGCTTCTACACATGATTTTTCTTCAATGTTCTGAATTAATTATTACAAATTAACCATATTAATTTATCAACTTTATTTTATCAAATAAAGTAAGGTAATATTTTGTTTAGAACAGGGGGAAAAGGATGCAAACAATTGATAAAACTTAACGAAACAATGCTTATTAAACAAACAATATTAAATTATACCAAGAACATGACTACTATGAAAAACAACTTGCTTAACTATAATGCCAATATATCATATCGGATCCTTAATGCTGCGTGAATAACGATTTGCTGAAATGCTGGATTATATCGGAATTCTAACGCATTCTTCAATCTTCATAATGATCTGCCGTGATACGAAACTGGAATGCCAAATCACAAATGTCAGTGTTTCCAGTGATTGGATGGCTATAACTGTACATTGATAATGAAGGTTGCAGCAATATTAAACAATGCCCTAATCGCTGAATAATGGAGAACTTAGCACTCACTTTCCGCTGGAGTTATGGAGCGCATCTGGAAACTTGATCAAGGACTAGGTGGGTTGATTTTGTTCCTGATTGCTCTTTTTGAACGAAAAACTATGATTATATAAGCACTTTGAACTAGGATTGCACAACTTTGCACTCTATGCATTATATGCAATGTGGCACAAGCTTGCTGTTGATACCCTGGCATGCCTGCATCTTACACTTCTTTTTCCTGGTGGAATTTCTCCCCCAACAAGAAGAAAAATCAAGAATACTCATTTTTCAGTATTCTGTGACGTGTCTTTCCAAGAATTTGTAATGCTGCACTATCTTCAATTGCTTAAAGTTCGGTTGCACTCTTTGATTGACCAATTTCTCTGTTTCTGCATTTAAATATGCTATGACGAATGCTTGAGAATGTATCATCTTCTTTCTTCAAACACTTTCTTACATGAAATGCCTCTTGTCTTTTGCTGAAGCATGATTAATGATTCGCTTGATCTGAAGAATAAAAATCCGACTGATTATGAAGATGTTAAAAAGACAGTGGGGGTCAGAGAGGCTCCTTTCAGAGATTTAAACTTTATTGAGTTCCGGTATACAAATCTACAGATTTTCACTTTTCGCAAAGTATGATTTTCTGGGATATTTCCTAAAACTAACCTTGAACCAACAAAGTTTTTTAACTACAGCTTCTCTCTGTCACATTCAAAACGTGGCAGTAAGAAATAGTATAGTGAAACAAATTCCAAATTGGTAATAGCTGATTACAGATATTACAAAAATAATTTTTAAGAACAGTTCAATTAAAATTTACCAATCGTTTGATTTGAATATCTGAATTTAACTGCTTACTTCGCTTTTATCTATTAATTAATACCTACCGTAATCCTATGTGGATGAGCATGGCAATTGAAATGTCTTGAACCTTTGCACTGAGAGCTCCTGCTGACTTGTTTTCATGTATGTACTTTCATTCATCTGATTGTCAATACACTTCATGGTTGTGACTGAAATTTCACATTCTCTTCCATATCATTTTTAACACTTTGTTCTCATTCAATCATGCATCATCATCATTTGCTTCATGTTTGCATGGGATAAAATGCACAGACTCCTGGGTAAGTATACAGACTAAAAGAAATGAGGCTTGAGTTCATGCCGTGTAACCATCAATTATGTGGGGGAATGTTGTGATGAATAGTGGTTAATGATCAGCATGCTGACAGACAGTACTGCAATACCTTCAAAGATTTTTCTAAAATCTCATTAGTAAATCCAGTAAAGAAGGAAAATGTTAGAAGTACAGCAAATGAAGAGAATTATTTAAGCAAATAATTGGCATTGAAAATTAGAGAATGTTGGTGTCCTTAACTTTGGAAGATCATATATTGATAAATGCTCAATTAATAGGACTCTTCTGATGGGATGAAAAAAAAATTGATTGGTTACATTGCATGCTCAAGCCTCGACATAACATTATGTGTTATGATTAATGCCACCTAGATTAAAGATTCTAAATCTAGCCTTTTCTAGTGTATTTCAATAGTTGAATAAGCCCCCCAAAATGTTCTTGTTTTGATATGAAGATAGGCAAATTCAGCCCTTATGAGAGAAATGTCAAATGATGATTGCTTAATCACATAAGTTATTAAAGATTATGAGAGGAGCTTGATAAATAAAATTATGTTTAAGTATAGTTCGTACGGTATACAAGATATATAGAATGACTGTAAAGTAATTCATACTAAAAAATGTGATTGCATCGGTCCTTCTTAGTTCTAGCTGTAAATTTTGCATGTTAAACCTTTTGATGACATTGAAAACAATCCAGCACAAAGTTACCAAGATGTGAATTAATTTATATTTTTCAATCGAATGGTTGGATAGCCTGAATACAGTTACTGTTCATGACTAAAAGTACATAGTAGAGTTTACTTGAAGGGATTGGTAATAGAATTTTGAAATGAATACTTCATCGGCATCTCTTTTGTAAATGTTAAGCACAAAAAGCTTGATTTCAAATATTGAGTGGGAAGAAGTAGGTTTTGGCATACAGTTATTTCAAAGGATTACTATGTTCTCAGTCTAATGCATCCTACTGTACTTTCTCATAGGTGTCCAAGCCAGAGGCTTGAGCTGGCGTTACACCGCAGACAACATCATCGCTGGAATGGAGAATGAACTCTCTATCGATGCCACCGTCCTGTTCACAGACACCACTGCTCCCGTTACTGGCAATAACCTTTGGAGGCTTGCCCTGTATGGCAGCAAGAATCTGGACGGTAGTGGCGAGAGGTTCAACTACAATGAGCAGACCCTGAACAACATAGAGGTCTCCAAGAACCTAGAAGAAGGAGGCCCTCTTGAGTTCACGGAAGCCACAGCCATGTTTGATGTGGCTGCCATCGGGTGTGGTCCGTTTGGATATGCCTGTATGGATTTCACAAGGAATGATGATGCTGATCCATTCTTCGGCTTTTCGGTGCTCCCAGAGGGCGATGTTATCACTCTTTGTCAAGAGAGCCCTTGCAGAGCAGGTAAATACTGTTATAGATTTAAAAGCCCCACTGTACTACTTGAGTTTTGCTAAATTTTGAACCCATGAACAGAAAGAAAACTGATAAATTTCCTTTCTGATCTATTAATCATTTCAAAGTATGGCACTAAAAGAGATATAGGGCAAATAAAACAATTCACATTAAAAGAACACCCACTTTTAAAGCCTTTAATTTTGAATAAACATACCATGGCCTCTCGCTCTCTATTTTGGAAGGATTTTTCATGAAATACCTTGATGAAAATTCAGCGTCTAATCAGTTGATCTTTTAGAATAACGGCATACTTAATCAACAGTCCCTTCTCTGCCATGCATTTATTTTCTTCCAAGATCTGAGTATCACCCGCGTTCAGGACACTGTCCTGAGTGGTACAGTCATAGATGGCCGTGATTCAAATGCTTACTCTATGGATGTGGCCATCAGTGGCGCAGGAGTAGGTGTTGCAGGCAACGGCCTCTGGAAGTTGAATGCCTTTGGAAGCTCCAATGCCAATGGTGCAGGACAGCGCTACAGTGAGAGATCACAGGTATGAATTGGACAAACATGAAATCTATAATATGAATGTTAACAAGAAATATCACTGCAGTTTGTTTCTCTATTTAAAATGATTTATTTATGGATAAGGATAAATATAAATAGTAAGAAGTAAGAATAATCATATATGTATATATTTTTTTTTAAAGAAGATTGTGCTTTTCATAAAATATATTATACCTAAAATATGGTACAATGTATTTACTGTCAATCCTCAGTCGTTAAAAAAAGCTAATAATCGATATCTTGTTTTTCTTCACTTTTCTCCCATATCCTTGTTTTCTCTCTCTACTCTTTACACCTTTCTGCTCTTTCATTCTATTTTATCATTTGCACTTCATTTCCATCACTTTTTAATGTCACGTTTACATTTTCTGCCAAATTTGGTTCCCATGTCTATGTAATATGTCATTTTACTAACAACCATTCATTTTTCTGTTCATATTTTTTTTCAATTTCATTATATTCTTAATCAATTTTCTTTCATTTTGTTTATCATCTTGTTTCTCATGTCACTGTTTTTTTCATTTTGATTTGTATGTGTTACATCACCATATGTGCCATTTGTATATGTATTTCATCCCTTTCACCATCAACTTTCATTTCACCATGTTGTATTATTCATCTTTCGTATATGTGTATATGCCCTTTTGGGTTATTTCCTGAATGCCGTCATCATCCATCTGTCATTTCATATTCATATTCTATCTTGTATCATTTTCTTTGTTCCATGCTTGTGATGTGCCCATCCCCCTACCCTTCTCTATCTCTATGCATTCTTTCAACTATGTCCACTGCTCAGGTTCTCACCAGTGGTCAGCAAGACCAAACCTTCCGCGTCACCGAGGACATGCTCTTTAGCAATGTTGACTTTGATCTTAGCATGCGAGGCCTGACATGTGCTGAAGTTCAGTTTGTCTGTGTGGAGTTTGCCAAGGGGGATTCCCCAGACACTGTCTTTAACCTCATCCCTGTACCCGATGACAGTGTAATGGTTAGCTGTTCTCCAGCGGAATGTGAAGGTTCGAAAATATTCAATTCCTGCCTTAAAAGTATGATTGTCTCTTTGCAAAAGATTTCTTATCTGCAAGTGAGCAAGTCATGCGATTTTTGTAAAATTCAAATTACATAAACAGTCTTATGAAATATAAATGTATAACCATTATGAAATATTTGTATATACCGGTACCTAACGAAAAAAATATTTTCTTATGACCATTTTCTTCAGCTAGTAGTAAGATGTTATGAATCCTTTATTCTATTTATCTTATTCTAATTACATCATCGATCAGTATTGTGAAATGTATTATTGAAGTTGAAGTATTACTATTTTGTGTTTTTAATTTTTATAGCAGTTTTTCTTTGATAAGGGGTTATGATTGTATGTGGGACTTAAATAAATTACTGGTGGCCAAGTTGTTCAAAATTCCATCATTTGTTACTAAATCACTGAAATTACTTTCATGACCCATCTTATGTGAAATTCATTTCCAATTCAGTCCTCATTCTTAATTAGTGGTTACTATCACTTCATTCAGTTGTTATTATCACTACATTCTTGTATTTACTGGTACACGTTATAACTGTTCATATACACCTCTGAATCATTATGTTGAGTTGTAATATTTTTTAAACAATACTTGATGTTATCATTTCATTGTGTCTATTTCATTCCGTCTCTCATTCAAGTTGTGTGAGTTCTGTCATAATCATAAACTTGTGGTCTTGCATGCAATGATTTATACTTTTGACATGATGTTTGTGAAATGGTTCATCTGGAATGTATTATGTGTTTTTATCGATTGAAATTCACAATGCATTCTTCCCGACATGGTATGACCGGAGTCGTGCGTCAATTCAGGTACGTACATTCATTTATTCAGATAGGCATGGGAGGTTAAACATTATTTAAATCTTAATCTAGGTGAAATAACTTTCTACTTGATAAAAGTACTGGGGTATATAAAATGTATAGCGTATATTGATATTTGAGAATTTATTAAATGAGATATGATTGGAAATGCTTATGGGAAAGTTTTTCAAGACATAAAAGGAATTCCTTTGGAGTATAATGGGAGGGGGGGGGGTGATAATTCATTCCTTGCTTTTGTTGTTGTCTCATTCAAATGAACGGTTAAAAACAAATGCGTCTGTGACTTTTGTATTGAAGATTGTTAACTAAAATCAAATGCTTAAGTATTCCAATTTTATGGAACAGTACAAAGTTGTTATTCTATTAATAAATTTTGGACTTATCTATTGTCGGTCTTTATTTATATTTGTTACCTGATGAAATACCTCCCCTCAAAGAAAGTTAAGAATAGAAAAAATTGCTGTGACCAACTCTATTCTATTCCTTCTTATTTAGAATAGAAAGAAAATGTGCAATTTTGTGTACGCTAAGTTCCATGTGATAACATCCTTTTCCTCTTTCTTGCAGATTCTTCTGTTTGGATGATGTATCTACAATAATAGTTAAAATTGTAAATGTCAATTGTTAGGAAACTTTTCATAGTGGTGTCACTCCAATGAAAAGAAAATAATGATATGCAATTTACAGAGCCATATTGACCTTTCTGTAGAACTAAGGGTGGGAGGGTTGATAGAAGTTTTTTTTTTGATCCAAAACACATTACAAAAAATGAATAGAATACAATCTTTACATTAGAGTATCTGATCAAGAATTTATTGCTTTAAGACTTTTATTGAGATTTTACATCTATTTCTACATATACATGGGGAGGATAACAAAATTATAATGGCAAGAGGTCAATATTTTACACCTATCGAAAAAATTCAGGAAAGACTTGCTTGCATAGTAGACACTTCTGATAACTAAAACAAAATATAAAAGTAGTTGAATATGTCTGAGGGTTTCAAATTCTTTGATGATGAATCCTGTGTGTATGTAACTGTTGTCTGTTTTGTGTGGTCAAATGTTTATATTCCACTAGTGCATGGGTGGAATCATTATGTCAGTTCCTGTCATGATATCCATAGTACGTAAGCATCCATGAAACACATACATTTTGTCACCAGTGTGTCAGTCATCCACATCTCATCATCGCAAGACGCGTACTGTGCTGCTGCATTCTTCATGAGGATTTTAAGCAAATGAGAGGAACTTTAAAGTGCCGGGACCTGTATTTAAAAAAAAATGCTATATTGATCGAAGCTCAGAGACATTCAGGATTAGGCATTAGTGAATTGCATAGCGGTCACCTGATGAAAATCAATCACCTGATGAAAGCCAATCGAAAGCTGTGAAGTCCATGACTCTCTAATCTGAGGAGGTGGGTGATGATGCCATGATTATTATGCATCTCTGCCTAAGGCTTTGCAAGTGAATGCAGCAACTCTCCTATAAATGCTCTGCAAATTACAGCTTGATATATATATATATTATAGCTTGATATATATATCCCCTTAAAGTTAATTAGAAAATAAATGTATCCTCCTTAACCTCCTTTCTTGCTTACGGCAGCTTTGATAATATCTTCTGTTATGGATCTTTTACAATTTGATTTAGATAATCTTAAGCCACTAACAAGCTTAGAAATGCTTTCTTCTGGGTTCTTTTATATTATAATATTACTTCTCAATATATAATGAGCCTGTTCCTGAAATATCATATCTGTAGCTTGAAATGATTTCCCATAATTTCTAGTAAAAATGCAATTTTCTCCTGATTTTTTTTTGGTCACATTTTTTCTTTATCCTAACCCAGGGCTTTAGGTGCTGTGTACTCTGAAACTATTAATTTGACCCTTTTTCAGGCTCTTTACTTATTTTGGAACAAACAAGTGATACATGTTATGATTGGGAAGAAAGAAGTTTTATTTCAAGGGAAGTGTGAAATTTTGTATGTTTGAAAAGGGCCAAACTGTAAGAACATTAAAAACTACAGACGAAATAAAAAAAAATTATGATAATTTCCAGCAAAAATGCTTTTGATCCTTTTAAAACTAGTTCTTTTGCAAATTTTAAACAAATTTTATGGCAGATAAAATCGGAACAATACACAAATAAGTGTTAATTCAGTGGGATATATTTAGTTTGCATGACAACGCATTCTTTCTCATTTTCACTTTCAACCTTTTCACCACTTCCTTCACTGACTGATTTGATGTGAACTACAGATATTTCTTGAGCCTTGTGAGTGCTGAAAATTAAACTTGTGAAATATATACAAGTATATTTAGTTTGAAATAGCTTGTTATTCAATTCTTCAATGAATGAATTCAAATCAAAGATGATAAAGATAAAGTATTGTCATTTGACTTAGGAATGTATATATTTATATACTTTATATCAAAGATTTTAAGCAATATTGCATCAAAACATTTGCTTGATTCTAGAGAATTCTGTAGTTCCTTCCTCTGCATGCATGTGTCCAAATATACATCATTTCAAATGCATTTAGTGTTTTCATAGACATGATGAGTTTGGTATATATGTCTTATCATTTTATGTATACGATTAATTAATGTTTGTACGTTTGTACGGTTTTGGCTAAAATCCACCAAATATAGTTTATTTGTTACTATTTGTGCCACTTCAAAAAGTAGTTTTTGTGCACATACATTGATTAGCATTAGTTTGATACAATTAAATCTTAAATGGGATGTAAATTAGGGAATATTCTATTGAGTATAGGTAAAATTCATACTTCTAAACAAGTAAATACATGCTGGCAGTATATGAGAATGTAGTTTCTAAAGTTTTGGAAAACACATATGTAAGGAAGTTGATACAATTAAATCTTTAATGGGATGTGAACTAGCAAAAATTCTATTGAGTATAGGTAGAATTCATACTTCTAAACAAGTAAATACATGCTAGCAGTATAGGAGAATGTAGTTTCTAAAGTTTACAAATACTCCTTTTGGAAAAACACATATGTAAGAAAGAATAATATACTAGCCATGATTCCATTTCTCCGAGCTAATATTAAAAACTGTCATCTTTACAGGTGTGGTTGCCAGAGGTTTGAGTTGGCGTTACACAGCATCGGGCATCATTGCCGGTATGGAGAATGAGCTATCGATCACTGCCTCTGCGGTGTTCACTGCAACATCTCCAGCCAAATCTGGCTTGGATCTGTGGAGACTTGGACTTTTTGGAAGTGAAAATGAGGATGGTAGTGGAACAAGATTCAACTACAATGTCCAGACCCTGAATGATGTAGAGGTCTCTAAGAGCTTGGCAGCCGGCGGTCCCTTGGAGTTCACGGAAGCCACTGCTATGTTTGACGTGGCTGCTATTGGATGTGGCCCATACACATATGCCTGCATGGAATTTGCTAAGAATGAGGATGCAAGCCCTGACTTCTTCTTCTCGGTGCTCCCAGAGGGCGATGTTATCACTCTTTGTCAGGAGAGCCCTTGCAGAGCAAGTGAGTATTTTATTACAGATTTTATTTGAAAGAGTGATAAGAGAACAGCATAGTTCGATTCAAAATATTTTGCATCATTTCATTTATTTGCTTTTCATACAATATTTTATGTCGATAAAATTTGAATTCTGATTTTATTTATTTAGTGAAATCATTTTTTATTAATTGTTACTAATTTTTCCCAAAGTAATTTTAGGTATTTTTGCAGGAAAAAAGCAATAATAATCTCCAAAATATCATTTTAAGTGTATTTACTACTTTTTATATACCCATATTGTTTGTTTGTTCTATGATTGTTTTTTTTTTGCTTCCTAATTTATCTTAGATTTATTTGTACAGTACGTGCTCCTATCATTATATGTAACATTGCCTTCCACCAGTAGGGATGTAAATTTCTCTTGTCGCCTTATGATAGATAGAGTGGAATGTTGAACAGCAACCATCACCATTATATGTCCTCTCACCATTCTTTCCTTTATCAGACCTGGAAATCACAAATGTAGGCAACCGTGTTCTGAGCGGGGGTCTCCTTAACGAGCGTTACTCCAACCCTTTCTCCATGGAGGTTGCTATCCGCGGCCAAGGAGTGGGTGTGGCCGGAGAAGGCTTGTGGGCCATGAGTGCGTT